ATATATATATATATATATAAGCGACAAGAATCTCAAATTATGTCACAAATTTATAAAGAATGATATTTATAGAAAGAGAAAGAGATAAAACTATATATATAAATATGTAAATATAAAATTTGCACATATATTAAATGTATATTCGCGTTTATAGGAATTTTTTTAATAAAGCTCTTTTATATCTGTTTTTTATTGAACAATAATCGCGCGAACAAGTTGCAGTTGAATAACGTAGCAATATAATATTAAGTAATATATTTTTGAACATTTTATCTTAAAGACAAAAGTTTTTGTCACATAATTTACTCATTACATATAATTGATTGCTACTTGTGCGATTATTATCCAGTATAAAACGGGTGTAACGTTAAATCTAAGATATATTTACATTAATAATGCGTTTTGAAAACACATTCTGTTGTAATATAAGCGAAACTTAATGACAGTCACAAGATATTATACATATTAGTATTAATATCGGACCAATTTTATAATCAAATCTGTTTATAATGATTATCATTTTTAAATAAGACAATTTTGTTAACATTTTTCTCTCTTATACTATCTAATTCGTATTAACAAAATGTGTAAAATGGAAAAATGTTTATGTTATGAATTGTAGCTGTAAGGAAATGCTTATGATTTTGTAAGTTTTAGTAAATGGTGCCATTGCGCTTTTTAAAATCAATCTATGCTTTTGCACAAAGAGACTGCAAGAATTTTTTTATAAGATAGCAATATAGTGCTATATAATCTATTTTTACTATCTCTTTGTGTGGCGTAGCTATTTAATTGACAAAATAATCCGTAAGATAATCTATTTAATAATGAATCAAAGAGATGAATAATCGTTAAGTTCATCGTTAAGCTTGCTTGATGTATTTAGATTATATAGAAGTCTTTTAAAAATATGAGAGAATGTATTGATTTATTGAATTACGCTTTATTAGTCAGAAAACATTTTTTATTTTGACATTTAAAGATATATCTTTCGGATTTGTTTCAGAAGGTTATTTGTTGTATGATTTAAATTATAGTTTAATATATAACGACGCGAAACAAAACAAAAAAAAAGAGAGAAAGAAAGAGAAAATGAGAAAAGAGAAAAGAATATACTGCTCGGTTGAAAATCTGTGAGTGAAAGTTTAACCAACGCTTTATGAAGACATATCTATACAGAAATTTACTAAAAATAAATTATCAATAGGTCCCTAAAGTACCTTTGCCTCGTTAAACATTGATGTACAATGCTTTCTGAGTGTTCAACAATCTAACAGATACATATTCGTAAATAAAATAAAAAATTCAAATATTAATATATTAAAGCGTAGATATTTGCCTCATTTTAATCGCAAAGAATGCAATTCCAGAAGGACAGTCTTATATCTACAATGATGAGAAATTACGATAGTATAACATTTAGGTACAACATGAGGTCAAAAATAAAAAAGACCGGAATACATTGTAATCAAATTAAAGTGCATTAGACAATTTACATAAGTACATAAGTTATAGTATGTTAGTGTTCACCAGAATATGAATGTCCTCTATGTAGCATATGTCCTAAAAGTAACTTTCTAATCCTAATAAATTACTTTTTGGCTTAAAACTGTTGATCTCGATATCGAAATAATCCATAACTCTATTTCAGTTATTCACCTGCATCGTATATTTCGAATACATCTTTAAATTATTTCTTACAACTAAGATAAACAAGTGAATGTAACAAATGAATGTCATAATTATGTACTATGATTATCATGTTTTGCTGCAATAAACATATATCAATGCGATTGCTCTTACATTTTTTTCTAGCTGATAATGATTGCTATTTTCTGACGAGATATTCGAAAGAGATAGAGGTTACGAAACTGTACAGATTGGCAAGTGTTTTAATATATGATTCTTGTGGGAATATATACGTATAATAAAGATGAAAAAAGATATACAGTATGTCTGAAATGTTCCCAGAAAAAAATTTTAAAAAAATCAATGAATGCAGATTTTTCAACTTTTATTCATATCGGTTCCAATGATGTCAATTTATTTACAATTTACTATCTCAATAAAAACTTACAAATTAGACAAAATTCAATAGTATATAAAATTCAATAATAAC